ACCCTAAACCCTAAACCCTAAACCCTAAACCCTAAACCCTAAACCCTAAACCCTAAACCCTAAACCCTAAACCCTAAACCCTAAACCCTAAACCCACACCCTACTTGGAGGTTCAGGGCACTAAAAAGCTTATAACCCTAATTACATCTGCACTTATAAACCCCCAAGTCCCCAAAGTCCCCCCAAGTAGGTTATAAGCAGACTCAAAATTGGGATATAAGTAACCATGAACCTCCAGGTACACTCTAAACCCTAAACCCTAAACCCAAACCCTAAGCCCTAAAACCCAACAGCCAACTTAAGCTCAGAAGACCGAAGCCCGGGCTTCACAACTCCGAGCCTTGTGGTGGAGGGTGTGTAGGGTTTAGGGCTTACGGTTTCGGGTTTAGGGTTTCGGGTTTAGGGTTTAGGGTTTCGGGCTTAGGGCTTGCGGCTTAGGGTTTAGGGTTTCGAGGTGGTTTGGGGGTGTAGGGTTGGAGCAAGTTTGTGTTTCGGAGGCCTCCTGCATCCCTGGATCCCTCCCCCTAACAGCCTAAAGCCTTGAAACCCCAGATCCCCCCCGAGGGTTGGTTTGCGGGTTAAGGTTTGGGGTTTAGGGTTTAGGGTTGAGGGTTGAGGATTTAGGGTTTAGGGTTGAGGGTTGAGGGTTTAGGGTTTGACCTGAAACACGAAAACACCCACAGAAGCCCTAAGCCCCCAAGCATGCAGACCCATTGGCTTGGCATCGTAGAGGAACTTGAACTCGGAGGGGCCCGACTTGCCTTGCTCTTCAGGGTAGGGTCTTCGAGCTTCGGGGGGTCTCTGGATGGTGTAGGGTTCGGGGTTTCTGGGTTGGATTTTGGGGGGTTTAGGGTTTAGGGTTTAGGTTATACCAGATATCAGCCTCTTTAACTGAGGATATGTAAAAGTATGTAGGGCATTACGTCGGAACCTATGTAGTGAATGACGTCGGAAGCCACGTAAATCGTTAGGGTCAAGTCGAAAAGAAGCGCAGGGTTTGCAGGCCCAGGCCTGGCACAAAGGTTTCTGTTGCCCTTCGGCTCTACAACACCGTAGAGCACCCCTTCGTCTCGAAGGCCGCCGGCCTGAAACACCCTGAAAAACATTGAAAAACCTTGAAAAACACTGAAAAACCTTGAAAAAAAACTCTGGGCCCTAAACCCTATGCCCGCATCCCCTGGCACACTTTCGCGGGCCAAAAGCGCGCCTGGAGCTGGAGATTCCAGCTTTTCGTACGCCTGGCACAGAGGTTTCTGTGGCCTTTTGGCTCTATGTGTCGGTAGAGCCACCACACAGCGTCCCTTCGTTTCGAAGGCCGCCAGCATCCCCTGGCGCACTTTCGCGGGCCAAAAGCGCGCCTGGAGCTGGAGATTCCAGCTTTTTGCATGCCTGGCACACAGGTTTCTGTTGCCCTTTGGCTCTATAACACTGTAGAGCATCCGCTCGTTTCGAAGGCCGCCAGCATCCCCTGGCGCACTTTCGCGGGCCAAAAGCGCGCCTGGAGCTGGAGATTCCAGCTTTTCGCATGCCTGGCGCAAAGGTTTCTGCTGCCCTTTGGCTCAATAACGCCGTAGAGCATCCCTTCGTTTCGAAGGCCGCCAGCATTCTTTGGCGCACTTTCGCGGGCCAAAAGATTCTTAGACTATGGGTAAAACGTAGCACCCATGGAATTTGTTGATCAGAGAAAAGTAGTTTCAGAACTCGTTGTGTCGAAGAACCAAAGTCTCGACTTTCAGAGGAAAGTAAAATTGTTTCTTCATAGACCACCTCCTGTTTCATCTGGAATAACCACATACTTCCATTTATGCCACGATGATCACGATGTTGTAAAGCATTCATATGGTTACATTGCAGTTGCTATATGGTGCTTTTTTGGGTGGCTGCAAAACGGTTTTAAACGGTTTTGGGGCACCGTAAATGGGGTCAAAAATCCAAAACTATTCAAAACTATTAAAAACGGTTTTAAAACGGTTTTGCCGGCACACTGGGGCGCTCCAAAACGGTTTTAAACGGTTTTGGGGCAACCCTTTTTGTACTCTTCAAGATACACGAAAAGTGGCTCCGCAGCCAAGTTTCACCAGCCTAGAGCAACACACCTGCATAAACCCTAAACCCTAAACGACGTAAACCCTGAAACCCAGCCCCGAAGCGCAAGCCCTGCAACCAACCTTTTTAATGACCACCGCCAGGCGATGGTCATTAAACCCTAAACCCTTTCCCTTTTAAGGTGGGTTTAGGGGGTTTAAGGGTTCAGGGTTGGAGGACCTAACCCCTAAAGCCTAAGCAGTCGCACCGCGGCCGACATGGAGCAACAGTGCTTAAACCTAAGCCGCTTAGCCCAAAATTCCTAAACCCGAGACCTAAACCCAAGGTTGGCTAAGAGCCCTGACACTGTTTAATGACCACCGTCAGGCGATCCTAGAAGCCTAAACCCCAAAACACCTAGAAACCCTAAACCCCAGCCCCGAAGCGTAGGCCCTCCAACCTTGTTAATGACCACCGCCAGGCGATGGCCATTAAACCCTAAACCCGAGCCCCAAACCCGAGATCTAAACCCAAGGTTGTCTAAGAGCCCTGACACCCTGTTTAATGGCCACCGCCAGGCGATGGGGCAACCCTTTTTGTACTCTTCAAGATACACGAAAAGTGGCTCCGCAGCCAAGTTTCACCAGCCTAGAGCAACACACCTGCATAAACCCTAAACCCTAAACGACGTAAACCCTGAAACCCAGCCCCGAAGCGCAAGCCCTCCAACCAACCTTTTTAATGACCACCGCCAGGCGATGGTCATTAAACCCTAAACCCTTTCCCTTTTAAGGTGGGTTTAGGGGGTTTAAGGGTTCAGGGTTGGAGGACCTAACCCCTAAAGCCTAAGCAGCCGCACCGCGGCCGACATGGAGCAACAGTGCTTAAACCTAAGCCGCTTAGCCCAAAATTCCTAAACCCGAGACCTAAACCCAAGGTTGGCTAAGAGCCCTGACACTGTTTAATGACCACCGTCAGGCGATCCTAGAAGCCTAAACCCCAAAACACCTAGAAACCCTAAACCCCAGCCCCGAAGCGCAGGCCCTCCAACCTTGTTAATGACCACCGCCAGGCGATGGCCATTAAACCCTAAACCCGAGCCCCAAACCCGAGATCTAAACCCAAGGTTGTCTAAGAGCCCTGACACCCTGTTTAATGGCCACCGCCAGGCGATGGCCATTAAACGCCTAAACCCTAAACCCTTTTGTTTAATAACCACCGCCAGGCGATGGCCATGAAACGCGTAAACCCCAAACCCTTTTGTTTAATGACCACCGCCAGGCGATTGTCATTAACCCCTCAACCCTCAACCCTCAACCCTGTGTTTAATGGGCGCCCCAGAGCGGCCATTAAACTCCTAAATTGCAGCACCACCCCTCCCCCCCCCACCCCCCACTCCGGGCCTAAGGCTTAAAAACCAAGCGATTTTGTATCAATTGGCTCCTGTAAGCAATCACGAAAAGGTTCACGCAAATTTTCTATAACACAAAGTTTTGTGTGATAGAAAATTTACGTGAATCCTTACGTGATTGCTTACAGGAGCCAATTCATTTACGTGAACATTTACGCGATTCCCTACGTGACTTCCGACGCCAATTTGCTTGCCTGACATTTGCCCCAACTTAAAGAGGCTGATATCTGGTATAAGGTTTAGGGTTTAGGGTTTAGGGTTTGGGGTGTAGGGTTTAGGGTTTAGGGTTTAGGGTTTAGGGTCTAGGGTTTAGGGCGTTTAGGGTTTAGGGCTTGCTTTGGGCTTTTTAAGGCTCCAGAGGCACATCGTGTGAGGACTGAGCGGCCTAAAGCTCGGGGGACTCAGGGATGCCGGGGTCCATGGGATGAAGCTTCCGGGTTCCGCAGTCGCGCGCGCGCGCGCCCCCTGCAGCCCTTGTGAGCCAGGGGTTTAGGGTTTAGGGTTTAGGGTTTCGGGTTTAGGGTTTGGGGTTTAGGGTTTGGGGTTTGGGGTTTGGGGTTTGGGGTTTAGGGTTTAGGGCAGGGTGGTGCAGGGCGTGGGGTGTAGGGTTTAGGCTCTAGGGTTCTTTTGTCAGAGCCTTTCGTTGCGGGACTAGGGGACGGCAATGCGGGGTTCGGATGTGCATCAGGCAGTCGGGGCACTCTGAAGCCCTAACCCTTAACTTAGGGTTTAGGGTTTAGGGTTTAGGGTTTAGGGTTTGGGGTTTGGGGTTTAGGGTTTAGGGTTTAGGGTTTAGGGTTTCGGGTTTCGGGTTTAGGGTTTAGGGTCTAGGGTTTAGGGTTTAGGGTTTAGGGTTTAGAGTCCAGGGGGAATCTTCAAAGTTAGGGGTGCAATGAAGATGACGGGGTTCAGCAGGAGTTGGCCCAGAGATGCCCACAGTGTGTTGAATCGAACACATCTGATTCCTGAGCCCTAAACCCTAAAACCAAAGCGCAACCCTAAACGCTTAAGCCCGACTCTGCGGACTCCCAAACCAAACACCCAAACAGCCCCAAAAAACCCAAACCTGCAGCCTAAACTCCGAAACCCTTTAGGGTTTCAGGTTGGGATGCTCCCCCTTATACTAACAGTCCGTAATCGGGATTCTGGTGGGGTGTACTCTGATCCCTATGAAGGATTAGAAGTATACGGGGGAACATCCCAAGTTTCTGGCTTTGGGGTTCTGGCTTCGGACTTCTAGTCCAGGGCTCTAAAGCCGAATCCGTAAAGTGCCCTCCAGACCTCAAGGAGAGATGCAAGTTGACTTCACTCCCGGTAGGGCCAGACAAATTGCACCTTAAAGCCAACCCGAACCTGAGACCCCCCTAGACCCTAAACCCTAAACCCTGAACCCTGAGACCCCAGCTAGCTACGATCTTATGGGTTCTACCTACGAAATCAGGGGTAGTTACGACTAAGCTATAGGTAGATAGAGAGAGTCCCAGGAAATCCTAAACTCACAACACAATCAATCCATAAGGGAAAATTGGTCCCGACCCCCCCATATTGTTCGCAGCCAGGCCGCAGGCGGCCATCACGGCCTCGCCCAGATCCGTGGCGCCCGCGCCGCCCTTGGCGTGGTGCTCCTCGGTTTAGGGTTTAGGGTTTAGGGTTTGGGGTTTAGGGTTTAGGGTTTAGGGTTTAGGGTTTAGGGTTTGGGGTTTAGGGGCCTGTGGGATGCAGGGTTGAGATGAAGGATTTAGGATTTAGGGTTTAGGGCAGACAAACACACCATCAAAAGCTGTAGCAAACCCTCTGCCCTGTGAGGAATCCTGGCAGAGGTCCCCTAAACAATAAACCCTAACCCTAAACCCTAACTAAACCCTAAAACCCTTAAACAAAACCACCTCCCAAGCCCCCCCCCTATTGCCAGACCAGTTGCGGCCACCACCGTGGCAAAAGCGCCATTCTCCTGGGCAACCTCGCGCCAGCCCCGAAGCCGTAGCCCCCAAAACCCGATAGGGTTTAGGGTTTAGGGTTTAGGGTTTAGGGTTTAGGGTTTAGGGTTTAGGGTTTAGGGTTTAGGGTTTAGGGTTTAGGGTTTAGGGTTTAGGGTTTAGGGTTTAGGGTTTAGGGTTTAGGGTTTAGGGTTTAGGGTTTAGTTCGGGTGTGCGGATTAACTAGGGTTTAAGGATTGAAGGTTCAGACGGGGTCAGGCTTCGGACTCCGTCCAGGCCGATTGATCTGGCGGAAGTGAAGCCCTCGCAGCCAAACCTTGGGGACCAAATGAACCCCAAAATTGGGGTTTAGGGTTTAGGGTTTAGGGTTTAGGGTTTGGGGTTTAGGGTTCTACTACAACCACTATTAAGGTAATGTAAACCATAAGCCTTTTAAGGTTCATGTCGTCCCCAAGGAACCCCGAAGCCCTTCAAAGCTCCCAGAGCCAACGGAACCCCCGAAACCCCCAAGAAACCCCAACCCAAAAGCCCCCAACCCCACCCCCCCCCCCCCCCCAAAAAAAACAAAAACAATGGCCAGAAGCTAGCCCGTAAACTAGACCCCTGAACCTCAAGTCACTGAAGTCTGCACAGAAACCCCCCCAGATCCCCAACTCTAAAACCACCAACTCTGAAACCTGAACCCCAAACCCCAAACCCTAAACCCCTAAACCCTAAACCCTAAACCCCAAACCCCAAACCCTAAACCCTAAACCCTAAACCCTAGCCTTCTTCACCACTGCCAACTCGGCATCGGTATCGGTGCCGAAGCGGTTGATGGCCACAACGGCCTTCGGGGAGTGAGCTTCTGAGGGCTTCTCAGGGGCTTAGAGCTTTTGGGGTTTAGGGGTTGAGGGCTATTAGGGTTTAGGGTTTAGGGTTTAGGGCTTAGGGTTTAGGGTCTAGGGTTTAGGGGAATTACTTCTGATATGTCTAGCGCGACTAGGCCGCGCACTGCTATAGCTGGAAAGCAGTGACGGGCGCTGACACGTGCCTTAACGCGAGCGGACGCGCAACCCTTAACAGAGAACCGCTATTGCTAACCTTCTAATATAGGGGTCGGAATGATTACCAAGAATATTCCCTCATGGTCCCTATATAAATATAGTATCATATCCCCCAAAACCTTATTCTAATTCTTCCCTTTGTTGGGCACCACCACCTCCATCTCCCTTTTGCTGGGCACCACCACCTCCATCTCCCTTTTGTTGGGCACCACCACCTCAATCTCATGACGAAGCCTGTGAGGTTCCAGCTCGGGGCTTGCTACTGGTGACCCCCTAAACCCTAAACCCTAAACCCTAAACCCTAAACCCTAAACCCTAAACCCTAAACCCTAAACCCTAAACCCTAAACCCTAAACCCTAAACCCTGGCCACCTCTCAAGAGGTCTTCTGCCACCAGCGACTGGTTGCGTGGCAGGTATTGCGCAGCGACACTGTCGTGGTGCATGAAATGAAAAGCCCCCTGTTCATAAATCGACTCTGCAGTCCATGCGTGACATCTTCACTGTTCTGCTAAATCAGTCGCCTACCGCTGCAAGGCTGGGAGGCTTGGCGAACCCTAAACCCTAAACCCTACACCCTAAACCCTAAACCCTAAACCCTAAATCCTAACCTGGCAGTGGCATCGGCTCCTCGGCCCGTAGTACTTGGGGCTTCTGCCGCATGTCACATGTTCACATGTCATGGATCTTGTTGAGATGCCGTGGTGTCTGGGGCTGAAGCCCAGAAGACCCTAAACCCTAAACCCTAAACCCTAAACCCTAAACCCTAAACCCTCAGGGTTTCGGGATGCTTGTGCGTTCTCCACTTAAGGTTTAGGGTTGAGAACCTTCAGGGTTTTAGGGATTAGAGTTTGGGGTTTGGGGGCAAAATTATCCTAAACCCGAAGACCTAAACGCTACATAAACCCTAAACCCTAAACCCTAAACCCGAAACCGGAGCCTTCACGCCGTGCTTCCGCACATTCCTCGGCGGCAAGACCCCTAAACTTGCTTTTGGGAGGTTCATGGGTACAAACATAGACATGTGTGTACACCCGGGGCCCTATTTACCTGGACTTTTGTGGCTTATGCCTACTAGTTAAGGAGAAGTTGCTACAAAACTGTAGGTAAATGGAGTCCAAGGTAGGTTATGTACGCCGTAGGAAGGTTTTCGGTAGCTCAGTTACCCTACTTATAACACAACACTTTGCAACGACCCCGTGAACCTTCGGTTTAGTACAGGAAGGGCCTAAACAAGGGCATGCACAAAGTCACAAAGTGCGTAGATTTGGAGGGGGGACCATCTTACATGTATATACATATATGTATCTACATGTATAGAGATAGCAAAAATTTTGGAAAATATGCGACTATATATATACACATATACACACTCTTTCTTCTATGCAATAGTTTATCTCCTCTTGCAGATTTCTACTTCTTTGCACGCTACTGTCAATGTCTATGTAAAGGCCGTGCAGGGTAGTTGGATGCAGGGTTCCTTCTGGGCTCCCCTGCTCCTGTCCCTTCGGGTTTAGGGTTTAGGGCTCATTTAGGGCTTAGGGCAACATGAGCTTCGGAAGATTGGTTGGCTCCTCTCCACCGCTCTTGGAACCACTTCAAAAAGAATGATGGTCATGGCTCCTTATACTAGCGAGATTCCAAAAGACTAACGGCACAAATTCGGGGTCGCTACGATACAACACACACACACACACCGCCAGAGGACCTCCAGTGGAAAAGTACTGAGGGCCATCTAATTAAGCATTTGAAGAACTGGCTCCTCTTAGCTTTAGCCTCTCTGACGTATGACACGTGGAAGAATATGTGTTTGTGTAAAGGAGCCTAGATTACCACCCGTTACCCATACTTCCCCACAATACCCTCTCTAACGTCATATTGTACGCGTTCTGGTTTCGACTGTTGGCGACGGCTCGGGTGAAGTGGGAACAGGTGATCCAGAGAGTATACCCCAAAAGAACAAATAGAAAGACCCTAAACCTTATACCCCAAATACCACTATAAACCCCCAACCCTCCTCCAACAACCCTACCCGCCTCCCAACCCTAAACCCTAAACCCTAAACCTTAAACCTTAAACCCGAAACCCGAGCCCCAAAGGTGAGCCAAAGCTCTGGATGTGTGCGACGAGGTTGGCGCAGCCCTTCTCGACAAGATCCAAGTTCTCCTGGCAGGGAAGAAGCGGTTTGAGGCTTAGGGTTAGGGTTTAGGGTTTAGGGTTTAGGGTTTAGGGTTTAGGGTTTAGGGTTTAGGGTTTAGGGTTTAGGGTTTAGGGTTTAGGGTTTAGGGTTTAGGGTTTAGGGTTTAGGGTTTAGGGTTTAGGGCTTATTAGGGTTTGTTAGGGTTTGTTAGGGTTTGTTAGGGTTTGTTAGGGTTTGTTAGGGTTTGTTAGGGTTTAGGGTTTATTAGGGTTTATTAGGGTTTATTAGGGTTTATTAGGGTTTATTAGGGTTTATTAGGGTTTATTAGGGTTTATTAGGGTTTATTAGGGTTTATTAGGGTTTATTAGGGTTTAGGGTTTATGGTTTAGAAGGGCTTGCCTGGGACCCTATTTACCTACAGCTTTCTTGGTTCTACCTACTAATTCAGAGGTAGTTCCTACGAAGCTCTGGGTAAATAGTAAATAATGGCGCCATGTAATTCGGGTTGAAGGCTTATGAGTGCCCCCGAGCCCAAGACGAAACGTGTCATGGAGAGTTTGCAGTCCAGGGAGTTGTGATTAGTAAGACGAAAAACCTGCAAAACCTCGAAACCCTGGAAACCCTGAACGCGACAACCCGAAAGCCCTGAAATCCTAAAACCCAAAAGCATTAAACCACAAATCTCTAAGCCCTGCACGCACCAGGACATAAGCCCTAGCACCCTCTAGCCCTGCGCCTTCAACTCCGTTACGTACTTGAGATGCTGCATACCAAAGCCATAAGGGCTTAGGGTTTAGAGGGTTTAAGGTTTCGGGCTCGCCCGAAACAGCCCTGTACATACTAAGTTTAGGGTTTAGGGTTTAGGGCTTAGGGCTGAGGGTTGAGGGTTTCGGGTTCAGGACTCACCCGACAAAGCCCTGATGGATCGAAAGCCCCAAACCCTGAAACCCTAGCAAGAACTGAAAAAGCCCCAAAGCCCTGAAGTAGAAGCCCAAAGCCGAAAAAAAAAGGAGAAGCCTCTAGCCCTAAACCCTAAACCCTAAACCCTTTCAACCCCTACTCAACCCTAAAACAGCCCCATATTATGGATTAAAGGCGGAAGCCGAGGGCTCCTCCCGGTACTCCTTGGCGGGCGTCTGCCCGGCGACGATTTTGGGAGCCTGAGCTGGGTTGAGGGTTTTTGTCGGTTTTTTAGGTTTTTGATGGTTTTTTAGGGTGTTTTAGGGTTTATTCAGGTTTATAGGGTTTATAGGGTTTAGAGGGTTTAGAGGGTTTAGAGGGTTTAGAGGGTTTAGAGGGTTTATAGGGTTTATAGGGTTTACAGTTTATAGGCTTTTGGGCTTAGGGTTTCGGATTTGGGGGGCTAGGGTTTTGGGGGTTTAGGGTGCCCTAAGCCCCAAAAAGGCCCAACCCAACCCCCCCTGGGTCCCCCCCCCCCCTCCCGCACGCGCCTCACAGCTGTGAAGCTTCAGCGCCCGGACGCTGCAGACGATGACGGCGCAATCCGGCTTCAGCCCGCCTCGGGGGAGTTCATTGCGTCGTTGGGGCGTGTGGGGCCTTTCAGGGGCTGAAGGGGGATCTTGAAGGGTTTGGGGCTGAAGGGTTTAAGGGGTTTTTATTCGAGTTTTGGAGTTTAGGGTTTTAGGGCTTAGGCTCAAGCACGCAAAACAAAAAAAAACATCAATACCTTTTGGCGGCAAGCGCAGTGAACATCGTTCCGAACTGGCACGCCCGAGGGGCTGTAGTAGCACTTGATGTTGAAGAACTTCTCACCCCCCATGTCGGATCCAAACCCAGCCTCTGCGCTGAGACGGGTTGGCGGCTGAGGGTTCTGGTCTTTGTAAGGGGGCTGAAAACTCCTGAACGCGTCGAACAAACCTAAACAAAAACCACAAACGTTGAGAACCCCAACAACCCTAAACGCCCCAAAACCCCAAAAAGCACCGGTGGGGATCCAGGAATCTTCCCTACGTGAGGGTCGCCGATGTGGTCGCGCGCCCGACAGGTTCCCTCCATCAGTGGCTGGGATCACAAGGTCTTGCGGTTTCAGGGTTGTTCCACATGATCAAAGCCATCAAAACGTGATGTGGATTTCCCTAAACCCCAAACCCCAAACCCTAAACCCTAAACCCTAAACCCTGAACCCTACACCCGAAAACAAACATAAGCCCCGGTACGAAACCCTGAACTCTCCGGCTTTGGGATGAAGAGGGTATGGCGCTCTAGGGTGTGGGGTCAGTCCAGGACGAAACCGTAAAACCCTTGCTTGCGGTTTAGGGTTTAGGGTTTAGGGTTTAGGGTTTAGGGTTTAGGGTTTAGGGTTTAGGGTTTAAGGGTTTAGGGTTTAGGGTTTAGGGTTATAGGTGCCCTAGTTAAGGCGAGAGATAAGTATAACTACAATCATCCTACTTATAAGCATGCTGATGACTACCCATGAACCTCCAAGTTGGGACACGAAATCCTAAGGCCCCAACCTTCTAAGTTCTATACCGATGAACCTCCTAGTAGCAGGGTTGGAAATCTTGGCTTGCCCTAAACCCTAAACCCTAAACCCCAAACCCCTGAGGGCCTCAGTGAGCACGTAGCCATCGCTTCCAACGAGCTTGAGGCCAATGAGATCCTTGGGGCAGGGTTGATACTTCAGTTTCGGGTATGTAGGTTTAGGGTTTAGTTTTTTTTTTTTAAACCGGAATCGCCTGAGCGCGGGTTTAGGGTTTAGGGTTTAGGGTTTTGGGTTTAGGGTTTAGGGCTTCGGGTTTAGGGTTTAGGGTAGTCTAGGATTCGGGGTTTTAGGGTTTAAAAATTTAGGGGCCAGAGAAGCACAACAAGCAACACACTATCTTCAGTTTCGACCTAGCTCGCAACGCCCACCTCCTGAACCACAAGCCCAAAACCACACCCTAAGCCCTAAACCCTAAACCTACAACCTACATACCCCGAACTTCTTCATGCGCTGAGACTCAACCCCATCACCCTGCAGCCCCACCGCCTCGCAAACTCAACAATCTTTAGGGTTTCAGGTTTAGGGTTTAGTACCCTTTTTGGGGGTTAGCTACTTGATAAGGGAACCTTGAAACAAACAAAGGGGGCCAAAGCGTACCACGGCGCTACCAAGCCGATCCACCCTAAACCCTAAACCCTAAACTGGCCCCAAACCCTAAACCCTAAACCCTAAACCCTAAACCCTAAACCCTAAACCCTAAACCCTAAACCCTAAACCCTAAACCCTAAACCCTAAACCCTAAACCCTAAACCCTAAACCCTAAACCCAAACCGAAACCACAAGCCCAGAGGCCGAGATGATAGAAGAATTGCCGTGGGCGATGTTCGCGAAGGGGCCCGCCTGAGCTCTTACGGTTCGGGGTTTAGGGTTTAGGGTTTAGGGTTTAGGGTTTAGGGTTCAGGGTTCAGGGTTTAGGGTTCAGGGTTTAGGGTTGACTGCGTGAAGGTTTCATGGGGCTTCGTTTGGGTTGAGGGGTTCCGCGTAAACTCTGGCCACGCAAGGCGCGCACTGCTACCCTAAACCCTAAACCCTAAACCCCAAACCCTAAACCCCAAACCCCAAACCCCAAACCCTAATTACACTGTAGCAACCGGACCTAGCCTTCGAAGCCTCCTCAGAAATCGCCATCACAGAGCCTCACACTTCAGACTCCAAAAGGCAAAGCAAGAAATCAAAAAGATAACTTGATGATATCTGAGAATTCCCCTACGGTTTAGGGTTTAGGGTTTAGGGTTTAGGGTTTAGGGTATAGGGTTTAGGGTTTAGGGTTTAGGGTTTAGGGTTTAGGGTTTCCTCCAAGAGCAAAGCGAAAACAAGAACAGAACTTATGATAGCTGTATTCATTGCCCGAAACTCAGGCAAAGCAGCGTGGACGAGGGCTGGCGTTCCCTCCAAGGTCTGCATGGTGTTCCTCTGCTGCGGCGGGATCTCTGGCTTGAAGGGTTTCATTAGGGTTAATATCGGGTTTAGGCTTAGTAAACCCTAAACCCGGAACGCTACTCTTGCTTCGCATGGTTTTGCTTGAGGCTTATAGGGAGTAGTTGGGGTATTGAAGCCAGTGTGTGAATACTTGGGCTGGAACTAGGGCTAGGGTTTAGGGTGCTTGGCTTTTATAGGTGTAGGATCCCTACAAGCGTGGCCTTGGGTGTCGGACTTACTTAAATTAAATTTAAGTGGGCTCGGGCCAACGCATGTTTGGGGCTAGGGTGTTAGAGACCCCCCCCCCCCCCAGCCCCGCCCGGTAAACCCTAAACCCCAAAACCCCAAAACCCCAAAACCCCAAAACCCCAAAACCCCAAAACCCTAAAACCCTAAAACCCTAAAACCCTAAAACCCCAAAACCCTAAAACCCTAAAACCCTAAAACCCTAAACCCTAAAACCCTAAAACCCTAAAACCCTAAAGCCCTAAAACCCTAAAACCCTAAAACCCTAAAACCCTAAAACCCTAAAACCCTAAAACCCTAAAAACCCTAAACCCTAAACCTTACAATCCACCGTTGAGCCGGCTCGCGGCGGGAGCGCGTCCATCATCAGCACTGCCAAAGCACCTGCGTGGCTTTTGGGGCTTAGCAGGGCTCTTTACTTGAGGCAGCTTCTTGGGCTAGGGGAGCTTCATGAGGTTTAGGGTTTAGGGTTTAGGGTTTAGGGTTTTCGGGAACCCACTTTATGATGGCAGTATTTCACTCTCATCCTCTCTTTCGGGGAGATTTTTGCGGGTGGCTTGGAGTTGGGCGGCGCCCATCATCAACCTGCAGCCCACCTCCGCCCCTACAACCCGACCCCCCTCTCGACAGCTCTCCTGAACTCTAGACCTTGCTTGACCCCTAAACCCTAAAACCTAAAAACCCTAAACCCGAAACCCTAAACCCTAAACCCCGAACTCTAACCCCACGAACGGGGCCTGTGATGCCAAAGTCATCAGCTGTGATCGGCTCCCCCTGAACCAAGGCAGTAAGGGGCTTCCGAAGTCCCTGGTGTATAGGGTTTGCTTAGGGTTTAGGGTTTAGGGTTTAGGGTTTAGGGTTTAGGGTTTAGGGTTTAGGGTTTAGGGTTTAGGGTTTAGGGTTTAGGGTTTAGGGTTTAGGGTTTAGGGTTTAGGGTTTAGGGTTTAGGGTTTAGGGGGCGTCAGGAATCTCTGGTGTATAGGGTTAGGGCTGTCCAGCTTCGGGTCTGAAGTAGGGGGCCCCAAGTACTTCGGGCTTCAACGGTTTCGGGTTTAGGGTTCAGGTCTAGGGCTTGTGGCGCGGGAGTTCAGGCTGGGGGGGGGGGGGGGTTGGTGGGGGCCTACAGTTGAGTTTTTAGGGGTCTCGTATGTTTCCGAAAGGTCCGAAAGGTCCCGAAAAAAATCATTTGGGGTTTAGGGGGTTTAGGGTTTAAGGTTTAGGGTTTACCCTTATAAAGACCCTCAAAAGGATTCCCTGATGATAAGGGCCGCCCTTCCTTCGGAAACCCCCATGTGAGCATCTTTTCATTGTGGGGTGTTATAATGGCATTGACATCCTGCGCGGGCCTAGGCGTGAGCTTCTTGTCCTACCCAGCCCTACCCGATTTCCTGCCCAACCCTGCCCGATACGCTACCCAACCCTGATGCTTCAGGATACCACTTCGTGCGTTTTGAACGAACTGAGGACTGATCTGCTTTGCAGCGGATTGAGGAGAGGAAACTCCATGCCGAAGACGAAGACGGAAGATGACTCCGAATCCGAAGTGGGCGTCGAGGAACTGCTGGAACTGGAAGTTGGAGGCTTCCCCCGAAGGCCCAAAGGTGGCGGCTTTGAGCAACCGCTTGGCTGCTGCACTGGGGGACTTGTCTGGGGTTGGGCTGTAGGGCTTAGGGTTTAGGGCGCTCCCTGGCCTGAACTAGGCGTTTAGGGTTTAGGTTTAGGGTTTAGGGTTTGGGGAGGTTTGCTTGTTCGAGTAGTTGAGCCGTAACCTAAACCCTAAGCCCTAAACCCAAAACCCTAAACCATAAGCCCTGAACCCCAAGCCCTACACCCTATAAACCTAAACCCCATAAACCACAACCCGAAAAAACCCAAACCCCAGACCGGCCTTGTTAGAGTAGCAGCAGATCTAAACCCTAAGCCCTAAGCCGTCCCTAAACCCTAAACCCTGAACCCCAAACCCTAAACCCTAAACCCTAAACCCCAAACCCTGAACCCTAAACCCTAAACCCTAAACCCCAGGCCGGCCTTGTTCGAGTAGCAGCAGATCATCTTCCCCAGGCGCGTTCGCAGGTCCTTCAGGTCCGTGGCCAGGGCCAGGATGGCCATGATCTCCTCAAGAGGGCTTAGGGTTTAGGGTTTAGGATTTTGGGTTTAGGGTTTGGGGTTTAGGGTTTGGGGTTTAGGGTTTAGGGTTTGGGGTTTAGGGTTTAGGGTTTAAGGTTTAAGGTTTAAGGTTTGGGGTTTCGGGTTGGGGTTTAGGGTTTAGGGCTTAGGGATATCCAAACCGCCAAGCTCTGAATCCCTGTCCGTGAACCCTAAGCCGAAACCCTCTAAACCCAACGCTCTGAATTCCAAACCCCACAAACCCGAAACCCTAAACCCTAACCCTAAGCCCTAAGCCCTAAACCCGACAAAAACCCTCAGCCCTCCGGCCCTAAGTCACTTGGCCGACGGGAAGCGGAGCTGACGGTGATGCCATAGGAGGCCGTGCGCTTCATCTGCTCTCCCTTGCAGGGTGCAGGGTTCAGGGTTTAGGGTTTAGGGTTTAGGGTGCAGGGTTTAGGGTTTAGGGTTTAGGGATTTAGGGATTTAGGGATTTAGGGTTTAGGGTTTAGGGTTTAGGGGCTGAGGGTTTAACGCCCCGTTGCGGTTTTCAGATCTCTGCTGGGCTGCCGTCCTGCCAAATATCGTCGTAAAGGAACCCCCACCCCCCCCCCCCCATATTCCCAAAAGGGCTTATTTGGGGCTCAGTAAGGCCTCATTAGGAACCCTAAACCCTGAGCCCTGTATTATCAACCCGAATTTCTGAATGTAAATCGCAAGCCCTGTATGCTCCACCCTAAACCCTAAACCCTAAACCCTAAATCCGGAAGCCAAGGCCCAAAACTGCAAATCACAGATTGCAAGCCCTGTAGCCCTAAACTCGAGGATGCTTCAACCTGTCAGCCCAAAGACCTAAACCCTGCCCTAAACCCCAAACGCTAAACCCTAAACCCCAAACCCCAAACCCTAAACCCTAAGCCCCAAACCCCAAACCCTAAACCCTAAAGCCTAAACCCCAAAATGCAAACCCTAAACCCTAAACCCTCTTCAGACAGGAGAGACCATCGGAAGTTCCCCCCCCCAGACTTCCGCCTTCTTAACCCTAAACCGTAAACCCTAAACCCTAAACCCTACACCCTAAACCCTAAACCCTAAACCCTAAACCCTAACCCTAAACCCTAAACCCTAACTCTGAACCCTGAACCCTAACTTTCGCCTTCTTCTTGGAGAACTCCGAAGGGCTCAGGCCGATGTCGACCTTGCGAAGGTACTTGTCACCTGGGGCTCATGTGGGTTTGGGTTTAGGGGGTTTGGGGGCTTAGGGGGTTTTGGGGTTTGGGGTTAGGGGTTTAGGGGTTTAGGGGTTTAGGGGTTTAGGGGTTTAGGGGTTTAGGGGTTTAGGGGTTTAGGGGTCATGTGCTTCTTTTTGTAGCCCCGCAACTCAGTAGCCGGCAACCATCTTACAATGAGGGTGCCCTATTTTGGGGGGGGGGGAGGGAGGGGGGTTGGTTACTTTATACGCGAACCCGGAACCAAACAAATTTTACTTCGAACACCCACTCCCTGCAGACTCTGGGGTTGGGCACTCCAGGGACACTCTGGGGTGGGGCACTCGGACTCTCCCTAAACCCTAAACCCTAAACCCTAAACCCTAAACCCTAAACCCTAAACCCTAAACCCTAAACCCTAAACCCTAAACCCTAAACCCTAAACCGTATCTGGGGAGACTCTGGGGTGGGCGAGGAGAAGAGCTTAGCGTAAAACGTAGCAACCCCGCCGAGGGTGGGGAGAAAGGCAAAGGGGTACCACTAGGCTACCAAGGCAAAGGAAAAGAGCAGAAGAACCAAGACCCGCTTCTGCAACCCTCTTACCCCATCAACCTGCAATCCCTTTAACCCTCTCATCCCAATAACCCCAAAATAACCTACCAAAGCCCTATAATCAGATGAACCTATAACCCCATAAACCCTAAAAGCCCTATAAGCCCTGAACCCTAAAACCCCAAACCCTTGCAAACATATGACCTGCCAAAACCATGGACCTGAATCCCTGAAGGCGCAATAACCCTCCCTAAACCCTTTCGGGTTGTTGTTGGGTTTAGGGTTTCAGGTTTAGGGTGGAAAAGTCCAAGCAAAGCGAATGGCTTAGGATTTAGGGTTTAGGGTTGAAAGGGCCAACAAGGCTACGGGAATTTAGACGTCTTAGGGTTCAGGGCTTCTTGAGAACGGGTCCCTGAGCCCAGGGGCACAAGCATAGGGTTTAAGGTATGAGTCCCTTGGGTTACCCTAAACCCTAAACCCTAAACCCTAAACCCTAAACCCTAAACCCGAAACCCTAAAACCCTAAACCCTAAACCCTAAACCCGACACCCTAAACCCTTAGCGCGCGCGGGACGGCGGAAGTGGCCGAGGTGCTGCAGTCGGTAACTCGCCTGGCAAACTTTCTGGGCCCAGGGTTTAGGTGTCGGGCTTAGGGCCTATAGTTGGGTAGGGGTTTAGGGTTTAGGGTTTAGGGTTTAGGGTTTAGGGTTTAGGGTTTAGGGTTTAGGGTTTAGGGTTTAGGGTTTAGGGTTTAGGGTTTAGGGTTTAGGGTTTAGGGTTTAGGGTTTAGGGTTTATGGTTTAGGTTTTATGGTTTAGGGTTTAGGGTTTAGGGTTTAGGGTTTAGGGTTTAGGGTTTAGGGTTTAGGGTTTAGGGTTTAGGGTTTAGGGTTTAGGGTTTAGGGTTTAGGGTTTAGGGTTTAGGGTTTAGGGTTAAAGGTTAAGGGTTTACGGTTTAGGGTTTAGGGTTGAGGGTTTGGGGTTTAGGGGCAAGGTTACTCCTGCAACCTAGGACAAGGGGATTGAGAGTGTGAGGGTTTAAGGGCCCCCTAAAACCTAAACCCCAAACCCTAAACCCTAAGCCCTAAGCCCTAAACCCTAAACCCCAAACCCTAAACCCGAACCCTGCTTCAAAGGCTTCGCCACGGATCCTGTCCCAAGTCTAGGGCAAGGGTTTGGGCTTCAAGGCTGTTTGCTTAGAATTCGGGGGTTTAGGAGTCACATCGGATGCAGGATCTAGGGTTGAGAGACCTCGGATCTAGGATTTAGGGTTTTGGGCCCAAGGCGTTGCAGCACAACAAATCTAAAGGTTGAAACATCACAAGAAGCGCTTGAAGGTTGGAAACATGCTTCAGGAATCAGAATTCAGGATGCAGGGCTGAGTGCGTTTAGGGTGTCCAGGGTGTTTCGGATTTAGGATGTAGGGTTTAGGATTTTAACTTGGCTGCACTTAGGAGGGTAGTAAAAAAATAAACTTTTAGCTGCCTTATTAAGAAACCCAATCAACCCAAACAAGCTAAAGATCGAAAGTTACAGTAAAGCACCACAAAGGGGATTCAGGGTCTCGGGAGGCCTCCACGTGATAGTCTCCGGATCGATGTCCAAGATGCAGAACTTCTCGATCTCCTCCTGGCGCGTGAGCTCTGACCCCCTAAACCCTAAACCCTAAACCCTAAACCCTAAACCCTAAACCCTAAACCCTAAACCCTAAACCCCAAAACCCTAAACCCTGAATCCCCCGAAACCTAAAGGTGCCCACAGGGGTTCAGGTTTTTGGGGTCTAAGCCCGGTAAGCTCTTGAAAGCTCTAAGCCCTCGGTGTTCTGGGCTGGCAGAGCTCACCATTGGGGTTTAGGGTTTAGGGTTTAGGGTTTAGGGTTTAGGGTTTAGGGTTTAGGGTTTAGGGTTTAGGGTTTAGGGTTTAGGGTTTAGGGTTTAGGGTTTAGGGGCGTGCACCTGGCTAAGTGTGGCATCCGGGGGGGCTACTTGCTGTGGGCTCAATGTAAGCAGAATGAAACCCTGAACCCCAGACCGTTTAGGGCTTGGGGTTTAGGGTTTAGGCTTTAGGCTTTAGGGTTAGTTGTTGGGCGAAAGGTTCCGGGGGGCCCTACTTGAGGAAACGCCCAAAAGGTCTTAGGAGCTAAGAGCCTCGACGATTGAGTTCGGGGAAACCGCCTGGCGTGGGATTCAAGGTTCGGGGTTTAGGGTATAGGGTTTAGGGTTTAAGGTGAAGGGTTTAGGGTTTAGGGCTTTAAGCTTTAAGGTTTCGGGTTTTGAGATTTAGGGTTTAGGGGTGATAAGGTTTCAGAAGGTTTAGGGTTTCGGGTTTTAAGGCTAAGGTTTCGGGTTTTAAGGTTTAGGGCTTCGGGTCTGAAGGTTAAGGCCTTACGGTCTACGGTTGCATATTGGGTGTGTGCGGTCCTCTGTCAGCAGATCGGGATCCTCAGCTGTCGCAAGTGAGTAGGGCTTAGGGTTTAGGGTATTGAGGGTTTAGGCTTGAGGATTTAGGGTTTAGGGTTTAGGGTATTGAGGGTTTAGGCTTTAGGATTTAGGGTTTAGGGTCTAGGCTGTAGGCTTTAGGGTTTAGGGTTTAGGGCACTGCTTTCGAAGTTGCAAGGCTGCCGTTCTAAAGCACACGGTAACCCTATTAGGGAGAGGGTTTAAGGTTTAGGGTTTAGGGTTTATAAGGTTTAGGGTTGGGGTATGTCGGCCCCTGCATCTCCAAGCGTGACTGCCGCTGCAAGTGGCGCTGCAAGTGGCAAGTAGGCTTTGAATTTGTCAGACCCCTGCCTTCTCGGCTATCACCCTAAACCCTAAACCCTAAACCCTATACCCTAAACCCTGGACCCTAGACCCTGAGCCCGCCCTAAACCCTATACCCTATACCCTATACCCTGAACCCTGGGGTTCAGAAGCCTCAGGAAACTCTTCAAGGGTCTGTGGCTTTCAGTGGTTTTTGCGCATTTGGGCTTTAGGGTGTTCAGGGTTTTAGAGTTTAGGGCTTGAGGGTCTTAGGCTTTGAGGGTTGTAGGGTTTTAGGGGGTTTCAGGGTTCGGGTTTGGGGTTTCAGGGTTTTACCGCTTCTACGCTTAAACCCTAAACCACGCCCATGGCTTCATGCGTCGAGGCTGAGTTGTCTACGGGGAACACGCCGGGCCTGTGGCTTCCGAGGACCCTAAACCCTGAACCCTAAACCCTGAACCCTACATGGGTTCAGGGTTGAGGTTTCCGGGTCTAAGGCTTCGGGTTTTAAGTCTTTTTTGAAATGTTTAGGGTTTAGTGGTTAAAGTTTGAGGCCTCGGGTAGGGTTTGGGATAGCCTACTCAACCACTCAAGCTAGACCAAGGAGTAACCTAGGGAAAACAAGGTGCCCTTTTTGATTTAAAAGGGGCTAAAAAAGGGGCGAAAAAGGGATCAAGGGCCTACGTACTCTGGGTCCTAGTCCTAAGCCCTAAACCCTAAACCCTAAACGCCAAACCCCAAACCCCAAACCCCAAACCCCAAACCCTAAACCGTAAAACCTAAACCCTAAACGCCAAGCCCCAAACCCTAAACCCTAACCCCTAGGCTTCAGGGCTTCTTCAGCCAAGTCGCGTGCTTCTTGTGGGAGAGGCCCAGCTTCTCCTGGGACCGTAGTCAGGTAAACCAAACCCTGGAAGGAGTTTAGGGTTTAGGATTTAGGGTTAGGGTTTAGGGTTTGGGGTTTAGGGCTCAGGTGTTGCTTGAGCAAGATAGTTCAAAGCCCTCGGAAGCCCTGTAACGCCTAAACCTAAACTCTAAAGCCTTGAAACAGCAAAAGCCCTAGAGCCCTTAAAAACTACAGAAAAGAGACTAGGATGCGCCCCCTACAGATATTCCTGAATATGAGCCTCTTCCGCCCAATAAGGGAAAGTATCGCATGTCCCAGGGCCTACCTGCCCTTAGGAGAATAGGAGTTTAAGGTTTAGGCGGGTAAACTTCAACAAAAATCAGCGAATGGGGGTTGGAGGTTTAGGGGACTTGGGGATTTATGGCTTAGGGTTTTGTGGGCCTTATAAGCCCCAAACCCTAAACACAAGCCTTGGGGGCTAGCTAACTCCGGAATTAAGGATTTAGGGTTTCAGCATAAGATGTTTCGAGATGTAGCGAGTCGAAACCCTCACGCCCTGCACCTTGAACGCCAATGTAGTGCGCCAACTGCTCTTGAAGGCAAACACCCGTTCAGGGAGATTTTACCCAAACCTGCAACGGGCTTCTGCATACTTACATGCATGCACGCATAGATACATACAAGCACATGGGTGGTTCTCGAAATTAGTATATAGCACGGCACCTTTACAATAAGGACCCCCGAAAGGAACCCTAAACCCCAATTTAGACTCACCGCGCTGTTCAGGTTTTAGGGTTTAGGGTTTAGGGTTTAGGGTTAGGGTTTAGGGTGTAGGGATTTAGGGCTTGCTGTTCATTCGAGCATCCAGGCGAGCGTACATCGACGGCTCGAACTCGCGCTTGCCATTCTTGTCCTTACGGTTCTCGGCTTGGACCCAGAAAACCTCTGAAAAATGTTCCCAAAATGGGTTCACCGAACAAGAGGACTATGAAATACCCAGGCAAGGGCACAGAATGAGCTTCTTGCTAGGACATTGGCCTGGAGGGGGGGGGTTAGGGCTTCGGGCCCAACGAGCCCCAAAAGCAACCCTAAACCCTTTTTCGGAAATCCCAATGTAATCTAGGACAGAATCTAGGAGGTGGCAAAGGGAGGGGGGGGGGGGTGCGTGGGTGGGATCTGCGACTCCGACTCGAGGGGTAGAACAAACTGCGTATGGGGGTTATGGGGCTCTAGGGTCTCGGCCGTTGTGGGTTTTAGGGTACGAGTGTGGGTTTGAGGGTTTTAGGGTGGGTTTTAGGGTACTAGTGTGGGTCTAAACCCGAAACCCTTTTGGGGTTTAGGGTACGAGTGTGGGTTTTTTGGTTGCAGTTACCACCATTCGCAAGTTGCGCTACATAGAAGCCCAGCGAAAGAGCTGTTGCTACATGGCAAAGATAGTTGTAGAGTTCGGAGTTCTTGGGGAGGAGGAGGCTGCCCGCACTAGTTCCTAGGGGCTTGTATGCCCTTAAGAAGGACCCTCGTTTAGAAGAACCACAACTTGAGTATGCAACTGCAGGGCTTTGTGTCATAAAGCTTCTGATGCCGCAGCAATGAAAATCTAGGTTAACCCTCTAAACCCCTCTGAGAAGCATCCTCCTATGTGGCATGGACCTTTATGTATTATTTGACGTTCTCTCTTGTTTTGTATTTAAAAACCTATAAACAAACTAAATCCAAGAAACCTGAAGCACAAATTCACCCATTTCGTTCTCTTAGGGTTTAGGGCTTACGATTTATAATTTACTCTTTTTTTTGATGCGAACGTACAGACGCAGTCAGATGTTGGCAACGAATACTAGCTATCACTTCTGCTCTTGCGTGGGGGATGATCCAAGCGGTCTCTCGGGTCGAGCTGCGCACCGTTGTGCGCACATTGAAGTGTCCTGTCAGCTGTCGTGCCCAATTGTTGCTTGGTGTGGATCGGCAAAGATCACTGCTACTGAAAGAGGCATCTTCTCATGAAGATGCCCTAACTCTTTCAAGACATCTACATTATCATTCAACGCGTACAGACGTCGGTTCGACAACCTGTAAAACTTCGTACTCTTCTTCACAAACTGAAGTGGACGCGAGTCCTGCAGTGCCCTGAACCGTCTCGTGCAGAAAACACCCCCGCAGAAAATCACTGCCTTTACCGCAAGCATTGGAATCATACAACCGCACAACCCGCTACAGTCCACCTCCGCCACGGACGCACCCATGACCGCAGAAGCCACTGCCCCGCCGATAAGGAGCCGACCAAAAAAAAGCAACGACGGCACCCATTGCAAAAGACCTGCGAAAACGTCTCGCGTAATCAGTGACCATCATACAACAATCGGTGAACAATCTTAAGACACTAATTTTTGCGGGCAACCAATAGCAACTGGTCGACCAAGCCGATGCCTGAAGACGGCACGGCTGCGGCGCCTCGGAGCTTGTCTTCCTGACTCGGGAAACGGCTGCGGCCGACGCCAAGTCTCGCCAGCTGTCGTGCACAATTGTTGCTTGGTGTGCGTCGACAAAGATCACTGCTACTGAAAGAGGCTTCTTCTCATGAAGATGCCCTAACTCTTTCAAGACATCTACATTATCATTCAACGCGTACAGATGTCGGTTCGACAATCTGTCGAACTTCGTACTCTTCTTCACAAACTGAAGTGGACGCGAGTCCTGCAGTGCCCTGAACCATCTCGTGCAGAAAACACTCCCGCAGAAAATCACCTTGAGACACATGCCTTTACCGCAAGCATTGGAATCATGCAGCCGCACAACCCGCTACAGTCCACCTCCGCCACGGACACTCCCATGACCGCAGAAGCCACTGCCCCGCCGAGAAGGAGCCAACAAAAAAAAAGCAACGACAGCACCCATTGCAAAAGACCCGCGAAAACTTCTCGGATAATCAGTGACCATCATACAACAATCGGTGAACAATCTTAAGACACTAACTTTGCGGACAACAAATAGCAACTCGTTGACCAAGCCGATGCCTGAAAACGGCACGGCTCCAGCGCCTCAGCTTGTCTTCCTCACTGTGTGTTTTTGAGATTTAAAGGAGAACAAGAGAAGAGAAGGGAGAGAGAAAGGAGAGAGGAGAGATCAACAGGAATGCAACTCTAAATGGAAGAGCAATGAAAAGAATGGAAGAGAAATGAGGACCGGCGAAATGCAAAAATCAGGCAAAGAGAAGATGGTGCTCGTTTTCATCTTTCCTCTGGTTCTTATTTTTCTCTTCTCTTGTTCATTTCCGTTAGAAAAAACAAAAGGAATAACAATGAACATGTAAGCAAACCCAGCTGATGCTCATGATTTTTTCCTTTCTCCCTCTCTCTCTCTCCATATATGGGCGATGGAACGGGTGTCCTTGTTGGGCCGTTTCCTGCATCTTCAAGTGAGGAACCTAAGTGTTTTCTTTTGTTCGGTTGAAGACACAGAAAGCGATTAAAAGGGACGTCCATTTTGGATTGGCAGCCAACCCAGCTGATGCTCATGATTCTTTTTCTCTCTCTCTCTCTCTCTCTCTCTCTCTCTCTCTCTCTCTCTCTCTCTATGGGCGATGGAATGGGTGTCCTTTTTTGATCGTTTTCTGCATCTTCAAGCGAGGAAAAGGGACACCCCACAAGAAAGCACTTAGGGTGTCCCTTTTGCTCGTTTGAAGACACAGAAAGCGATTAAAAGGGACGCCCGTTTTGGATTGGCAGCCAACGCAGCTGATGCTCATGATTTCTCTCTCTCTCTCTCTCTCTCTCTCTCTCTCTCTCTCTCTCTCTCTCTCTCTCTATGGGCGATGGAACGGGTGTCCTTTTTGATCGTTTTCTGCATCTTCAAGCGAGGAAAAGGGACACCCCACAAGAAAGCACTTAGGGTGTCCCTTTTGCTCGTTTGAAGACACAGAAAGCGATTAAAAGGGACGTCCATTTTGGATTGGCAGCCAACCCAGCTGATGCTCATGATTCTTTTTTTTCTTCTCTCTCTCTCTCTCTCTCTCTCTCTCTCTCTCTCTCTCTCTCTCTCTCTCTCTCTCTCTCTCTCTCCCTCCCTCCCTCCCTCCCTCCCTCTCTCTCTCCCTATATATGGGCGATGGAACAGGTGTCCTTTTAGATCGTTTTCTGCATCTTCAAGCGAAGAAAAGGGACACCACAAGAAAACACTTAGGGTGTCCCTTTTGCTCGTTTGAAGACACAGCAAGCGATTAAAAGGGGCGCCCATTTTGGATTGGCAGCAAACCCAGCTGATGCTCATGATTTATCTCTCTCCCCATATATGGGCGATGGAACGGGTGTCCTTTTTGGATCGTTTTCTGCATCTTCAAGCGAAGAAAAGGGACACCACAAGAAAACACTTAGTAAGGGTGCCCCTTTTGCTCGTTTCAAGACACAGAAAGCGATTAAAAGGGACGCCCATTTTGGATCGGCAGCAAACCCAGCTGATGCTCATGATTTATCTCTGTCTATATATGGGCGATGGAACGGGTGTCCTTCCTGATCGTTTTCTGCATCTTCAAGGGAGAAGGAAGGGCACCGCCCAAGAAGGAAAAGTAACATCAGATATAGGGAGGGAAATTGAAGAGCTCCTCTCTTTACTTAGTCATTCCCTTTCCTCTCTTCTTATCTGTTGTTTTCTTCGCTTCAAAAAGCAAAATAAGGGAAAAGAGATTTCCTGAAGAGGAGGGAGGGCACCTATTGAAGAGCTCCTGTCTTTACTTAGTCATTCCCTTTCCTCTCTTATCCGTTGTTTTATTCGCTTCAAAAAGCAAAATAAGCGAAAAGAGATTTCCTGAAGAGGAGGGAGGGCACCTATCTGTAAAGAGCAATCGTTTAGAGGGGAACAGGAGAAGAGGAGCGAGAGAGAAGGACAGAGGAGAGATACAGGGAATCCAATTTCAATAGAACAGCAAAGAAAGAATCGAAGAGAGATGAATAGAGAAGAGGGAGAGACAAAACAAGGCGCAGAGAAGACGGCACTCTTCTTTATCTATCCTCCCTCCCTTATCTCTCCCTTCCCTCTTTCTTTTCCAGATAAGAACAACTAAAGAGGAATAATTATGAAAAGGAGAAGAGTAAGGAAAGGAGCAGAAGAGATAGGCCGAGAAGAGGGATATGATGAAGTACGGCAAGGTCCACGCGCAACCTCTGCTTACCCTGCCACTGTTTTATCCTGCAAGTTCCTTTCTTGTTGTTCATCAGTCAAAAAGTAACAGAAAGAGAGAAGGGAAAGGGAAGTGAGAGAGGAGAGAGAACAAGGATGCCATTTTTCTGGAAGGGTACTGGAAAGAAGAGAAGAGACAGGAAGCAAGGAGACGGAGTGACAAAATAAAGCGCAAAGCTCTATATATATCATCTCTCCCTTGTCTCTCCCTATTCCCTTTTGATGGGACGCCCCAGAACTAAAATATTTAAATCCAGGTATTTGAATAATTAAATTCTTTAAATTATTTAAATGGTTGGGTTTCCAGAGGAACCAATGGATTTGAATAATTAGATTATTTAGATTATTTTGGCGCCTCCTGTGAGCCAAGTCTGTGATGAAGTATGTCCCTTCTCCCCGCGGGCCAAATTTGTGATGAAGTATGTCCCCTCTCCCCGTGGGCCAAATTTGTGATGAAGCATGTCCCCTCTCCCCGTAGCATCCCACCAGCGTGATGAAGTAGGTTCCCTCTCTTTGTGGCTGAAGTATGTCCCCTCGCCCCGTGGGCCATGTTTGTGATCCAGCCCCCCAGCAGCGTGATGAAGTATATCCCCTCTCCCAGTGGGCCAAGTCTGTGATGAAGTATGTCCCTTCTCCCCATGATGAAGTATATTTGGAAGCTGAGAGTCGTGTTTTGGTGTGGTAGATTGTGGTAGATAGAAAGGAAAGGGCATGAGAAAGTAGCCTGCTTTATTGCAACACATGCCCCTCTTGTTCTTCCTTTCTTGTGTTTTTGTCATTTAGAGGGGAACAGGAGAAGAGGAGCGAGAGAGAAGGAGAGGGGAGAGATAACAGGAATCCAATTTCAATGGAATGGCAAAGAAAAGAATAGAAGAGAGATGAATAGAGAAGATGGAGAGACAAAACGAGGCGCTGAGAAGATGGCACTCTTCTTTATCTATCCTATCTCCCTTATCTCTCCCTTCCCTCTTTCTTTTCGAAATAAGAACAACTAAAGAGGAAGAGTTTATGAAAAAGGAGAAGAGTAAGGAAAAGAGCAGAAGAGATAGGCCGAGAAGAGGGACATGATGAAGTACGGCAAGGTCCAAGCGCAAGGAGTCACCCTCTGCTTTACCTTCCACTGCTTTATCATACCTGTCTTGTGCTTTATCAGTTAAACGGAAACAGAAGGAGAGAAGGGAAAGGGAAGTGAGAGAGGAGAGACAACAAGGAGGCCATTTTAATTTTCTGGAAGGGTACTGAACAGAAGAGAGGAGACAAGAAACAAGGAGACGGAGGAACACAACAAGGCGCAAAGAAGATGGCACTCTTCTTTGTCTATCATCTCTCCCTTCCTTGTCTCTCCCTTTTCCCTCTATTCTTAAAAAGGACAAGACCTCTTCGCAGATAGGTGCCCTCTCTCCTCTTCAGGAAGCCCCCTTGCCCTTATTTTGCTTGCTTTCTGAAACGACAAGGAAAACAACACATAGAAAGAGAGGAAATGGAATGAACCAATAGGCAGTGGAGCTCTTCAATTTCTTTCCCTATCTCTTTTCTTCTTTTTTTATTCTTCATTCAACAAGGAAAAGAAGCTTCCTTTTGTGTGTTTTTGAGATTTAAAGGAGAACAAGAGAAGAGAAGGGAGAGAGAAAGGAGAGAGGAGAGATCAACAGGAATGCAACTCTAAATGGAAGAGCAATGAAAAGAATGGAAGAGAAATGAGGACAGGCGAAATGCAAAATCAGGCAAAGAGAAGATGGTGCTCGTTTTCATCTTTCCTCTGGTTCTTATTTTTCTCTTCTCTTGTTCATTTCCGTTAGAAAAACAAAAGGAATAACAATGAACATGTAAGCAAACCCAGCTGATGCTCATGATTTTTTCCTTTCTCCCTCTCTCTCTCTCTCCATATATGGGCGATGGAACGGGTGTCCTTGTTGGGCCGTTTCCTGCATCTTCAAGTGAGGAACCTAAGTGTTTTCTTTTGTTCGTTTGAAGACACAGAAAGCGATTAAAAGGGACGTCCATTTTGGATTGGCAGCCAACCCAGCTGATGCTCATGATTTTTTTTCTCTCTCTCTCTCTCTCTCTCTCTCTCTCTCTCTCTATATATATATATATATATGGGCGATGGAATGGGTGTCCTTTTTGATCGTTTTCTGCATCTTCAAGCGAGGAAAAGGGACACCCCACAAGAAAGCACTAAGGGTGTCCCTTTTGCTCGTTTGAAGACACAGAAAGCGATTAAAAGGGACGTCCATTTTGGATTGGCAGCCAACCCAGCTGATGCTCATGATTCTTTCTCTCTCTCTCTCTCTCTCTCTCTCTCTCTCTCTCTCTCTCTCTCTCTCTCTCTCTCTCTCTCTCTCTCTCTCTATGGGCGATGGAATGGGTGTCCTGTTTTGATCGTTTTCTGCATCTTCAAGCGAGGAAAAGGGACACCCCACAAGAAAGCACTTAGGGTGTCCCTTTTGCTCGTTTGAAGACACAGAAAGCGATTAAAAGGGACGCCCGTTTTGGATTGGCAGCCAACCCAGCTGATGCTCATGATTATTTTTTTTTCTCTCTCTCTCTCTATATATGGGCGATGGAACAGGTGTCATTTTAGATCGTTTTCTGCATCTTCAAGCGAAGAAAAGGGACACCACAAGAAAACACTTAGGGTGTCCCTTTTGCTCGTTTGATGCAAAAGCAGGCGCGGGCTGAAGAGGACTTATGAACCGTTAACAACCACACTAGCACACAGACCTTTTGAACTGCTGTCACTGGTCTGAGCTTGGCTGGGAAAGGGGCTGCGAATGCAGCACTGTCATCTTCCTGCATGCACACATGCAAGGCTGTCTTGAATAGGCTTCTACTCTTGACACCCCTCCACAGGAGGAACTGGCCAGGTACCTTGGCCTGTTGCTACTGGACCTGCCTATTCATGCTGTCTCACTCCCAGCTTCGGCTCACTGTTCCCAGGAGTCACGCAGTTGCCAGCCCGTCTCACGTAGAGGGTCACTGGCCTTCAACCTAGGTCGAGATCCACTCAGACCTTCCAGTTGGCGATCCACTTCGAAGTCTCTTCACGAGTCCGAAGATTCTCATACTGAATTCGGCATTGGGCTCGATGACGATGGATGTAGAGCACATACCTCAGCTGCTTGGTGCTTGGCCGGTCCGACAGCGATTCATCTCCACCATCGAACTTGTGCAGAAGTCGCTCCATCAGGTCTTGCTTCAACCCTGTCACCTGGAGCCCTTCCACTCGTAGGCCACTCTTGAGTTCTTCCACCGTGAGCAGGCTCAAGGTATCTCTCACCACTCTGACTCGATCGTCGACACCAGTTCTGGCGTCACCACGGAAACTCATCCTGTCACTGTCACTCTGTCCAGCAGGGGATCTCAGCACGGAGGTTCCCTCGGGGACAGATGGCATCCGTGTTGTAGGAACCTCTGCACTGTGTTGAGCCTCCTCAGCACCGCTGCCACGAGGAGTGTCACGACGACTGAGTGCCATGGCTGCACTGGACTGCGCTACACTGGGCCTATTGCCCCTTCCACACAACCAGTGCCAACCTTTCAAAAGCACTTCAACTCCCTTGTAGCTGGCAAACAGCAACCCAACCAAGGCCAACAGGTGAACCAACCCTAAGTAAAGGTTCAACCACCAGACCTCTTCACTCTGAACTGGAGCTGCTTGGACTTTCTCCAAACAGCAGCTGACCACAGCTGCCACGATGCCCCTTTCCAAGGGCAGCTGCTTCATCAGCGAGTCCATTCTGGCTGCTTCTAAAGCCTTCGTGCCAAGATCCGAGATGTTCATGAGCGTATCCACTTTGCCTATGGAAAGTTCTTTGTTTCGAACTGCTTGCTGTATCCACATCTCCTTCAGGGATAAGTGCTTGACTTTTCCACACCCTACCCTCTGTGCCATCGACCTGGCGGCCGAGCTATCGCTCAGCACTCGGTGCTCGACCTTCCAACCAAAGTGTCGGAGGATCTCTGTTGTAAGCTTTCCTTCTGCTGCTGTCTTGACCATGGCATAGAACTCGGCCTCGCCCGACGATAGGGCCACGAGACTTTGTCGACCACAGCTCGTGTCTAGGAGGTGCTTCCCAAACCTCTGATACGTGGAACTCATAGACCTTCTGGTTCTGCGATCTGTTGCCCAGTCTGAGTCTGAAAAGGACTCTAGCTGCGCAGGTGCTTCTTGCAATTCGAAGTGCCATTTCTCGACGGGGTACTTGGCAATGTACTTTCCGACGCGCTTCAGCCTTAGCCAATGAATCTCCAAGGGCTTGCTCATCCCTTCAGCCAGTTCACTTGCTGCGTACTGCAACGAGGGACGGTCGACTGCCATGTAAAGGATGGTGCCAGTCACTCGTCTGAAGACCTCGGCCCTCTCACGGCTGAGCTCCTTCTCCACTTCTCTGTTTCCCACGCCTGTGGCCTTCGAAGCAGGAGTGTCAACTCCTTTGCACCCTTTTAGCTCGAGTTCCTCGATGACTTGTGGGGCAAACTTGGGGTCGCATTCCCAGGTAAATCCTGAGCCTGTCCACTTGATCAGGCGCCCAAGATGGCGTCCTTCTGAGACTTCCCCTCCATGAGCTGGGTCACCGATTCTCGGTAGCACTTTCACCTCGTAGTTCTCCTCCATGATCTTGTCCAGCATGTCGAGAGCTTCTCTTTCTCCACTCGCCAGGAAATCGTCACCGTGGCACGACAAGCATAGATCATGCTCTTTCAAGTAGTAGGTGTTGGGGCACAACAGCAGCTCGTCGAAATTGTGTCTTGTTTTCACCTCACGGATCTTCACTCCCCATTGCCTAGAGGCTTCCCGGGTTCCGTTCATCGCCTTGTGCAACTCCCAGATGATGTTGGGAGTTCCTTCTGACGCCGGGGGAATTACCCCAATCTTTTCGCTGTTGTCGGCGTGGAAGAAGGCCACGCTCACATCATATCTTCCGATCAGCTTCTTGCTCTTGCTCTCACCGGGCCTCGCTGTGGCTGCGTGCGAAATCACAGCTCGATGCACTCGAATGGGAGGCGTTCCCATCGATACATCTTCTCGCTTGTAAGTGTTCACTTCCTGAGCGACCAAGCGACTCCTGACTCCAGGCTTCCCTTCGATCTCCTTCTCGGTGTCGATCCACCTGGATTTCACCAGTCTGAGCCCCTTCGCCTTGGCTTCATCATATGTGATGTCGCCTTTGACTCCAAAGGACTCCATCTTGGTCATCTCTTTCATCCTCCCGATCTTCACCTTCTCGGGGTCCAGCAACTTTCCAGTCTTCTCATCGTAGACCGGTTTCTCGAGCTCCTTCGCTGCTGATGCGATCATTCTGTCACTGATCACCATGGCCGCCACGTGCATTGTTGGCAATCCTGCCACCATTTCTTCTTCAACCTCCTCCGGTTTGCCTTCCGCTTCACGCTTTCTGCTAGGGGACCTTGGGCTGTCTGAGGCCCGAGCAGGTTCCGAGGTCCTGGCCTCCTTGAGGGGGCTGTCGCTAAGGTCCAACCCACCTCGCTTTCTTTCACTCGGGGCGCCAGAACCGGCAGCCACCGAGCCAGACCCAGAGGCGCGACTACCCGCGGCCTCTGAACTTGCCTGCTTATCCGAGGGGCCAGGGCCGGCACCCATCGGATCATCCCCTCCATTGCTTGATGGCTCAACTGTGTCGTCCCCGGGCGCTGTTTCCGCAACCACAGGTGCCCTGCACAGCTTTTCAAACCTGGCTCTGCACGTGGCATTGTGCTTGACTGGGGCGTCACCGTAAGAGGTATCGCACCCAGGGCAGCCTGGTGTCCTACCATGCTTGATCTGTCTTTCAACCGTGATGTACACACCACGAGGTTTAGGCACTACACCCTCCAACCTTCCAGCTGGCAAGGGTCTTCCCGGAGCATCGGGGGTCCTTTCTGGCGTGCCTCGAGGCTGCCAAGGTGCGCCTACCATCCTCAGAACAAACGTGGGGTCAAAGCGCTTGGCCTCAACTCGCCTACGAACCGAGCGACACCTCTGGATGCCGTTGGCTGTTGCCACGAAGTGCTCATCGTTGCTCAAACTTTTGCCTAGCCAAACCCCACATGACCAACGATCCTCAAGCTTTCTTAAGTTCTGATTCGAAATACGGAACAGAACGACCTCTCCAAACTCAACAACTTCGCCCTTGTAGGTCCTACCCCGAAGCCTCTCGTAGGCTGTACGACCGTCATGCTAAGTTCCAGCACAGCTCGCTCAGCTGCACCGTTGGCCTTGTGGTCTCCTTTGGGCACTGGTTGACTGCTTGCTTTCTTGGGGTACCTCTTAACAAGTTCTTCACCTAAACTTTTGATAGCTGGCTCAGTATCGCTAACAACTATCATGTCTGGGTGACCACAGAACTTCATCCCTTCTAGCGCAAAAGCCATGGAATACGGATCCCCGGTGCCCTTGCTGTTAGCTACACCCGTAAACAGAGCCCCTGACTTTTGGTCCCTGCAAACCAAAACGGCCTTGGCACCAGCTTTGGCCTCGAGGATGTCCTTGGCGTCAGTGGAAGCTGCTTCCTGGGACAAGGCTTTCGTGAAGAAGCAGTAGTCGATACAGTACCTTGCTACGTCCTCTTTCTTTTCTTCTTGGCGCCTTTGATGGAAGTCTTCGGTGCCCTTCCCCACCACGCAAGACTCACACCAACTCCGAAATGGAAGGTGTGTTAACTCGTGTTCAGCACGCATCTCAGCACTGACACTCGGGGGTACCTTCTTGTGCTTAGCCTTACGCCCGGCCTCTCCTTCAGGTTCAGGCGGCTCTTCCAGGGGAGCGTCGCCAAGAGGCCTCGCATCCACCTGGGCAGGTGGGGCGCTGTCAGCTACCTCCACTCCCGGGGCGCTATCCGCTACCTCCGGTCTGGCTTCCCGAGCTGTTGGAGCTGCGATCCTATGCCTTTCAGGGTTCTGGGGCTTACCCATAGTCGCTTCCAACCAGTAGACACCTTTATCCTTCACTAAAGGAACTTTTGGGACTTCCTTCAAAGCTTTCTTGAGTTGCTCACCACCACAGCGACCTACGAGGAATTGGTGCGAGGGCCCTACCACCAACCAGGTTCCCTTTTGACTGGCTTCTGACATGGAGATAACAGGAAACTGGACGCTGTTGCTTTCCCTGTAGTTAAACTCAACTGGCACATCCCCATGCTTGAGCGACGAAGTCTTGCACTTACCCAATTCCAAGGCTTCTCCCGTGACCGTGTTCATGCGGACCCTGTCACCTGCAACCTCAACGGCCTTGTTGTCAAAGCCAACCGGAGCCAAACCACCCCCAGCCCCCGTGTCTACAAGGATCCTACAGTGGGTTTCAGGGTTTGCTACAGTTGCAACACACAAGGTTGAGGCTGCTAGGCCTTCACTTTCGGGCTCCTCTTGGGTTTCCGGGGCTGCTGCAGCCGTCCTACCTTTGTTCTCGGCCTTTTTCAAGTCCGCGGCTCGCTTCCTGCACTCGGCCTTTGTGTGGCCGGGTTTCTGACAGTAGAAGCACGGGCCCTTCTTCTTGTCGCCCTTGCCTCCTTTGTCTCCATCCTTCTTTCCGCCAGCGTCCTTGCCGGTGCTCTTGCCCTTGTCGCCTTTTCCATCACCCTTGGCGCCCTTCGGGGAACCCTTATGCGGCTTCTTTGGTAGGCCTCCTACGTCCATCGGTTGAGGCGTGCTTTGCAAGTACTTCTGCGTGCGGGCAATCTCCATGATCTCCGCTCTCATCTTCTTCCAGGTGTCAAGCCTGGATGAGTGCCTAATGAGGTGCTCCTTGACCGTCTGGTCTTCCACTCCCAGAATGACAATCCCGATGACGGTTTCGTCGTCCACGTCCTTCCCAGACTGCTTCTCGTACTCCCTCACCTTGCTGCTTCTCGTACTCCCTCACCTTGCGCTCAAAGGACTCGATGCAACTGACCAAATCCCCTTCGAACTTGTAGCGCAGGATCTCCAGGAGCAGACCCACATATCTGGAGTTGAGCTTCGGGTTGTACTCCAGGTAGAGCTGCCGATAGGCCTCGACACCTTCATTGTCCCCACAGTTGTGCAGCTTGTCCAGCGCACGTCCCCTGCAGAGCATCACCAGGACGTAGTAGAGCTGAGTCGACAGCCCTTGCTCCTCCTCAGTGAGAAGTCGGTTCCAAAGTTGGATTTCCGACGACTCGGCCTTCTGGAGTAAGGCTTGGTACCTCCTGTCCATCGCCCCCATGTAGCTCCGAAGGATGAAGACCCAGTCGTTGAAGGTTGCTGGATCTCCTTTAAACACCTCAGGCTTTCCGAGCCCTCTTGTGTCCACCAAGGGGAGCAGCCCAAAGACACCTCCCTGACCCGGCGCTGTAGCAGCAACCTGGGCCGGTGGGCTCACTGGTGCCTGGGCCACACTTGAACTGGCGGCCTGAGCTTCCCGTAGCTCCTGCAGCTGCTGGCCTTGCACCAGCATCTGCTGTTGCATTGCAGCCATGGCTTCACCTGACTGCTGCAACTGTGCCCGGAGCTCCTGGATCAAAGCCTCCATGGCGACCACCAAGAGAACGGTGATCACCGTCAGGATCCGACTCCTCGTCACCCTGGCCTTCGTCGTCCGCCTCGTCCTCGGTGAGAAGTGGCTGCCGCTTCTTTCTTCTATTCTTCTTTTCCTTCTTCTCCTCTTTCCTCAAACGAAGCGCACGGATCTGCCTCTTCACAGCCCGACTGGCTGCAAGGAGAGTTGGCTCACGCTGCTTCTTTGTTCGCTCGTCGCAAGTGTCGCAAGCCTCCGCAAACTCCCGGACGATGTGTTCTCCAACGGACCCAGGCGGGATAAGACCCGACTTGCGAAGTTCTGTCTTTCGAGCAGTCCTTTCACTGAAGCTAAGCCGGGGCCACTCTTCCCTCAACCTCTCGATCTTCGGGGCGATCCTCAGCCTGTACCGCTTCTTTGGTTTCGGCTTTGCCTGGGCTGTCCTCGTCACTAACTCCTCTGCTGCTTCGCTAAAGCCTTGGTGGCTTCTCCTCAACAAGGCCTTGTCCGATCTTCCTCCTCTCCTTTTCTGCTTGTTCGGCCTCTTCTTTGCCTTTGCCTGGATCTGCTGGTCCGGCTCACCAGCAGGGCGATCTCGTCCACGATCTCCTTGGGCTCTCTGGCCCTGCCTTTCAGACCTTGACCGGCCTGGTCCTTTCTTGCCCTGGGTTTGCCCCAGCCCTTGCCCGTGTTGACCACAGGCTGCCAGGGGTGCGCAGGGCGCAACCACCTGGCTGCAAGGGGTGCCTCGAAGGCAACCTCCTTGTCCGAGCAGCTCCCTGGGTCAGAGCCGCTCCGCTACCATGCAAAAGCAGGCGCGGGCTGAAGAGGACTTATGAACCGTTAACAACCACACTAGCACACAGACCTTTTGAACTGCTGTCACTGGTCTGAGCTTGGCTGGGGGGCTGCGAATGCAGCACTGTCATCTTCCTGCATGCACACATGCAAGGCTGTCTTGAATAGGCTTCTACTCTTGACATTTGAAGACACAGCAAGCGATTAAAAGGGGCGCCCATTTTGGATTGGCAGCAAACCCAGCTGATGCTCATGATTTATCTCTCTCCCCATATATGGGCGATGGAACGGGTGTCCTTTTTGGATCGTTTTCTGCATCTTCAAGCGAAGAAAAGGGACACCACAAGAAAACACTTAGTAAGGGTGCCCCTTTTGCTCGTTTCAAGACACAGAAAGCGATTAAAAGGGACGCCCCCATTTTGGATCGGCAGCAAACCCAGCTGATGCTCATGATTTATCTCTGTCTATATATGGGCGATGGAACGGGTGTCCTTCCTGATCGTTTTCTGCATCTTCAAGGGAGAAGGAAGGGCACCGCCCAAGAAGGAAAAGTAACATCAGATATAGGGAGGGAAATTGAAGAGCTCCTCTCTTTACTTAGTCATTCCCTTTCCTCTCTTCTTATCTGTTGTTTTCTTCGCTTCAAAATGCAAAATAAGGGAAAAGAGATTTCCTGAAGAGGAGGGAGGGCACCTATTGAAGAGCTCCTGTCTTTACTTAGTCATTCCCTTTCCTCTCTTATCCGTTGTTTTATTCGCTTCAAAAAGCAAAATAAGCGAAAAGAGATTTCCTGAAGAGGAGGGAGGGCACCTATCTGTAAAGAGCAATCGTTTAGAGGTGAACAGGAGAAGAGGAGCGAGAGAGAAGGACAGAGGAGAGATACAGGGAATCCAATTTCAATAGAACAGCAAAGAAAAGAATAGAAGAGAGATGAATAGAGAAGAGGGAGACAAAACAAGGCGCAGAGAAGATGGCACTCTTCTTTATCTATCCTCCCTCCCTTATCTCTCCCTTCCCTCTTTCTTTTCCAGATAAGAACAACTAAAGAGGAATAATTATGAAAAGGAGAAGAGTAAGGAAAAGAGCAGAAGAGATGGGCCGAGAAGAGGGATATGATGAAGTACGGCAAGGTCCACGCGCAACGTCTGCTTACCCTGCCACTGTTTCATCCTGCAAGTTTCTTTCTTGTTGTTCATCAGTCAAAAAGTAACAGAAAGAGAGAAGGGAAAGGGAAGTGAGAGAGGCGAGAGAACAAGGATGCCATTTTTCTGGAAGGGTACTGGAAAGAAGAGAAGAGACAGGAAGCAAGGAGACGGGGTGACAAAATAAAGCGCAAAGCTCTATCATCATTGTCATCACACTCTTCATCTGCATGAGTCCTTTCATTGTACTGGCATAACTTCACTGCATCAATTGCATAAAGCTTTCCCAGCAGCATCATCATCTTCATCATCTTCATCATCTTCATCAGCTCCTTGATCTTGTTCATCCTCATCATCTTCATCATCTAGTCAGTTGTTCGCATCGTCATCATGTGTTTATGTTTTGCTGCGGTATGCAGACCCCTGTTTCTTGCAAACAAATGGCCGCGTGCCAATATTAATTGCTTGTAACCGGGCCGCGGCCCACATACGCGACATACCCCGCTACAGGGGGTATGTATCAATGGTCGCGGTTTTGCGACAGACCTGTTTGTTGTCTGCAGGTTCCAAGTCTTGCTTATCGGGGGGTAAGTGTTCGTAAGTTTAAAGGAGCAAATATAAGTATCCCTGAATTTGAAACCCCCTTAAACTCTTAAAGGCTGAGTACGCGGAGCGGCGCCAAGATCTTGCTTATCGGGGGGTAAGTGTTCGTAAATTTCACCAAAAACATGACAATCTTTCCGCGGAATATGTGTCAGTAGAGCCGTGCCATAATTTAAATAATTCAAATATTTTAAACAATCTAATAATTTTAAAAATTTAAATCCGAAAGGGGGGGGGGGACCACCCCCCCTCCCCAGAATTAAATAATTAAATAATTTAAATAAGACGGGGAGGTTTCGGATTTAAATTATTTAAATTGTTTAATCCTTAGGGGGCAGCGGGTGGCCCCCCCCCTTTTCGGATTTAAATTATTGAAATTATTGAAATTATGTAAATAATTTAAATCCGTTCGAAGCCTTAAATAATTGTTTAAATTATTTAAATTATTTAAATCCCGGCCGAATTAGATAATTTAAATATTTTAAATCCGAAACCTGCCCGTCATATTCAAATTTAAATTATTTGATTCCCAGGCGATTTAAAGAAGTTAAATAGTTTAAATAATGAAAAATGATTTAAATCCGAAAGGGGGGGGGGACCACCCCCCCTCCCCAGAATTAAATAATTTAAAAAGTGTAAATACGACGGGGAGGTTTCGGATTTAAGTTATTTGAATTATTTAAGTCTT